TTATTAAAAAAATGTGTTATAATTTATTTTATAAATTAAATTATTTATTAAATTTTAATTATTTATTAAAATATTAATTTTAATTTTTAAAATTAAGTAATAATGATAAAATTAGTATATTATGATGTTTAAATATATTTAAATGAAAAGTTTAAGTAAAGAATTCGGCAAAAATAATGTTCGCCTGTTTAACAAAAACATGTCTTTTTGAATTATATATAAAGTCTGACCTGCCCACTGAAAAATTTTTAAATGGCCGCAGTATTTTGACTGTGCAAAGGTAGCATAATCATTAGTCTTTTAATTGAAGGCTGGAATGAATGGTTGGACGAAATATTAACTGTTTCATTTAAATTTTTTATAGAATTTTATTTTTTAGTCAAAAAGCTAAAATTTATTTAAAAGACGAGAAGACCCTATAAATCTTTATATTTTGTTTATTTTAATTATAAAGATTAATTTAATTTTAATAAATTAAAATATTTTATTGGGGTGATATTAAAATTTAAAAAACTTTTAATTTTTAAAAACATTAATTTATGAATAATTGATCCATTAATAATGATTATAAAATTAAGTTACTTTAGGGATAACAGCGTAATTTTTTTGGAGAGTTCATATCGATAAAAAAGATTGCGACCTCGATGTTGGATTAAGATATAATTTTGGGTGTAGCCGTTCAAATTTTAAGTCTGTTCGACTTTTAAATTCTTACATGATCTGAGTTCAAACCGGTGTAAGCCAGGTTGGTTTCTATCTTTAAAAAATTATAATATTTTAGTACGAAAGGACCAAATATTAAAATAATTATATTTTATAATATGAATATTATTAATATACTATTTTGGCAGATTAGTGCAATAAATTTAGAATTTATTTATGTAATTTTTATTACAAGTAGTACTTGTTTTATATAGAATTTGTTTTATCATTAATTGGAAGATTATTATTAATTATTTGTGTATTAGTAAGAGTAGCTTTTTTAACTTTATTAGAACGTAAAGTTTTAGGTTATATTCAAATTCGAAAAGGACCTAATAAAGTTGGTTTAATAGGAATTCCTCAACCTTTTTGTGATGCGATTAAATTATTTACAAAAGAACAAACTTATCCTTTATTATCTAATTATTTAAGATATTATATTTCTCCTATTTTTTCATTATTTTTATCTTTAATTGTGTGAATATGTATGCCTTTTTTTGTTAAATTATATTCTTTTAATTTAGGAGGTTTATTTTTTTTATGTTGTACTAGATTAGGTGTTTATACGGTTATAATTGCAGGTTGATCATCTAATTCAAATTATGCTTTATTGGGAGGTTTACGGGCAGTAGCTCAAACTATTTCTTATGAAGTTAGATTAGCTTTAATTTTATTATCTTTTATTTTTTTAATTGGTAGTTATAATATAATTTATTTTTATTATTATCAAATTTATATATGATTTTTAATTATTTTATTTCCCATAGCTTTAGTATGATTAACTATTTCTTTAGCAGAAACTAATCGTACACCTTTTGATTTTGCAGAAGGTGAATCAGAATTAGTTTCTGGGTTTAATGTAGAATACAGAAGAGGAGGATTTGCTTTAATTTTTATAGCTGAATATGCAAGAATTTTATTCATAAGAATGTTATTTTGTGTAATTTTTTTAGGTTGTGATGTATTTAATTTATTATTTTATATTAAATTAACTTTTATTTCATTTGTTTTTATTTGAGCCCGTGGTACTTTACCCCGATTTCGTTATGATAAATTAATATATTTAGCTTGAAAATGTTTTTTATCATTTTCTTTAAATTATTTATTATTTTTTATTGGATTTAAAATTTTATTATTTTCTTTATTGTAAATAATTTTTTTTAGTAAAGTTAATAGAAAATTTAAATTCTATCTTATGTTTTCAAAACATATGCTTGTTCAAGCTCATTAACTAGTTTATTTAATTTAATAAATTATCTCATCATTTTCTAACTAATGGGTTAATTAAATAATATAAGAAATAAATTACTGTTAAAATTTGTCCAATTAAAACATAGGGTTCTTCAACTGGTCGTGCTCCAATTCATGTTAATAAAATTACTGTTACTAATATAAATCAAAATAAAATTTGATTAATTGGGTAAAATTGAATTCCTCGGAATTTTCTTAAATTATAAAATGGTAGAATTATTAAAATAGCAATTGATAAAACCAATGCAATTACTCCTCCTAATTTATTAGGAATAGATCGTAAAATTGCATAAGCGAATAAAAAATATCATTCAGGTTGAATATGGGCTGGTGTAACTAATGGGTTAGCTGGAATAAAATTATCAGGGTCTCCTAGTAAGTTTGGACTGATTAATACTAAAGCAATTAAAATAAAAATTATTACAATAAATCCTACAATATCCTTAAATGTAAAATAAGGATGAAATGGAATTTTATCAATATTAGAATTTAATCCAATAGGGTTATTTGATCCTGTTTGATGTAAAAATAATAAATGAATTATTGTTATTGCAAGAACAATAAAAGGTAAAATAAAATGAAAAGTGAAAAATCGAGTTAAAGTAGCATTATCAACTGCGAATCCTCCTCACAATCATTGTACTAAATCTATACCTAAATAAGGAATTGCTGATAATAAATTTGTAATTACTGTAGCTCCTCAAAATGATATTTGACCTCATGGTAAAACATATCCTATAAAAGCTGTTCCTATAACTAAAAATAAAATAATTACTCCAATTAATCATGTTGGTGTAAATAAATATGATCCGTAATAAATTCCTCGTCCTACATGTAAATAAATACAAATAAAAAAAAATGATGCACCATTAGCATGTAAAGTTCGTAATAATCAACCATAGTTTACATTACGACAAATATGATTAACTCTGTAAAAAGCTAAATTTACATCAGCTGTATAATGTATGGCTAAAAATAATCCAGTTAAAATTTGGATAATTAAACACAATCCAAGTAATGATCCAAAATTTCATCATCTTGAAATATTAATTGGAGCTGGTAAATCTACTAAAGCATTATTAGCAATTTTAAATAAGGGGTGTGAAGTTCGTAAAGGTTTGTTCATTAATTATGATATTATTCGAATAGGACCTTTAAATAATTTAGTAATTTTTACTACTACAATTAATGTAATTAATAAATAATTTATTAATAAAATTGTAATAAAATTTGTTGGGAAATTGTATAATTTATTTAAAGATAAAGAATTTTCTAAAAAATAAGAATTTTTTTCGATAATTGATTCTATTTCATTGTTTATTAAAAATAATGAAATAGAACTTTTATCAATTAATAAAGATAAAGTAAATAAAATAAATAAAAATGAAATAGAAAATAAAAAAAGTTTAATTGATAAATTAAATATTTCATTTGAAGCTAAAGATGTAACATAAATAAATAATACAAGTATTCCTCCTAAAAAAATTAAAAATAAAATATAAGAGTATCAAAAACTTTTAGTTATTAATCCAGAGATTAAACATACAAAAATTGTCTGAATCAATAAAGTTAAACCTATAGCTAATGGATGAATTATATTTAAAAAAATAATAGAAGTTGTAATAATTAATGAATATAATATTAATTGAATAATTTCAAGAGGTAGTTTATTTTAAAATATTAATTTTGGGGATTAATGAAAAAGAAATTTCTTTTCTCTTGAAGTTTTAAAAGAAAAAATCTTATTTTTGATTTACAAGACCAATGTTTTTATTAAACTATTAAAACTAATGATTATAATTTTATATTGAAGTTTACCTATAATTTTATTTATTTTAGGTTTATTTTGTTTTGTTTCTAATCGAAAACATTTACTTTCAATACTTTTAAGCTTAGAATTTATTGTTTTAATATTATTTTTTATATTATTTATTTATTTAAATATATTAAATTATGAAAGTTATTTTAGAATAATATTTTTAACATTTAGAGTATGTGAAGGGGCTTTAGGTTTATCTATTTTAGTTTCTATAATTCGTACACATGGTAATGATTATTTTCAATCTTTTAGAATTATATAATGTTGAAAATTATTTTTTTTTTATTATTTTTAACTCCTGTTTGTTTTATTAATAATATATATTGAATGGTACAAATTATATTATTTTTTATTAGATTTATTTTTTTATTAATAAATAATTTTATAAATTATTGGGCTGAAATTTCTTATTTTTTTGGTTGTGATATACTTTCTTATGGTTTAGTTTTATTAAGTTTATGAATTTGTTCATTAATATTATTAGCTAGAGAAAGAGTTAATAAATATAATAATTATAAAAATTTATTTTTATTAAATATTGTTATTTTATTATTATTATTAGTTCTTACATTTAGAAGAATAAGATTATTTATATTTTATTTATTTTTTGAAAGAAGTTTAATTCCTACATTATTTTTAATTTTAGGTTGAGGGTATCAACCTGAACGATTACAAGCTGGACTTTATTTATTATTTTATACTTTATTAGTATCTTTACCTATATTGATTGGTATTTTTTATGTAATAAATAAAACAGGTTCTATGACTTTTTATTTAATAAATAATTTTATATTTAATTATGATTTATTATATTTTTGTTTGTTGTGTGCTTTTTTAGTTAAAATACCAATGTTTTTAGTTCATCTTTGATTACCAAAAGCTCACGTTGAAGCTCCGGTTTCTGGATCAATAATTTTAGCTGGAATTATATTAAAATTAGGAGGCTATGGCTTATTGCGAGTTATTTCATTTTTACAGTTAATAAATTTAAAATATAGATTTATTTGAATTAGAATTAGATTAGTAGGGGGAGTATTAGTAAGATTAGTTTGTTTACGTCAAACTGATTTAAAGGCTTTAATTGCTTATTCTTCTGTAGCTCACATGGGAATTGTTTTAGCTGGGTTATTAACAATAACTTATTGAGGATTATGTGGTTCTTATACTTTAATAATTGCCCATGGATTATGTTCTTCAGGTTTATTTTGTTTAGCTAATATTTCTTATGAACGATTAGGTAGTCGTAGTATATTAATTAATAAGGGATTATTAAATTTTATACCTGCTATAACTTTATGATGATTTTTATTAAGATCTGCTAATATAGCAGCTCCTCCTACTTTAAATTTATTAGGAGAAATTTCATTGTTAAATAGAATTGTTTCTTGATCTTGAATTTCTATAATTATATTATCTTTTTTATCTTTTTTTAGAGCAGCATATACTCTTTATCTTTATTCTTTTAGTCAACATGGAAAGTTATTTTCAGGAGTTTATTCTTTTAGAACAGGTAAAATTCGTGAATATTTATTAATATTGTTGCATTGATTGCCTTTAAATTTATTAATTTTAAAAAGAGAATCATGTATATTATGATTATATTTAAATAGTTTAAAAAAAATACTAATTTGTGGTGTTAGTGATATGAATAAATTCATTTTAGATCGTGAAATATTTGTCAATTTGTAGAATTAGATTTGTAAATTTAATTTCTATTAGTTTATCTTGTTTTTTATTAAGTTTATATTTTTTATTAAATAATATAATTTATTTTATTGAATGAGAAGTTGTTTCTTTAAATTCAATAAGAATTGTTATAACTTTTTTATTTGATTGGATAAGTTTATTGTTTATATCATTTGTTTTAATAATTGCTTCTTTAGTTATTTTTTACAGAAAAGAGTATATAATAGCTGATGAAAATATTAATCGATTTATTATATTAGTATTAATATTTGTTTTATCTATAATATTATTAATTATTAGACCTAATTTAATTAGAATTTTATTAGGGTGGGATGGATTAGGATTAGTTTCTTATTGTTTAGTTATTTATTTTCAAAATATTAAGTCTTATAATGCTGGAATATTAACTGCCTTATCAAATCGAATTGGAGATGTAGCTCTTCTTTTAGCTATTGCTTGAATATTAAATTATGGTAGATGAAATTATATTTTTTATTTAGAAGTTATACAAAATGAATTTGAAATATTAATAATTGGTAGATTAGTAATATTGGCTGCTATAACTAAAAGAGCTCAGATTCCTTTTTCTTCATGATTACCTGCGGCTATAGCAGCTCCTACTCCTGTATCTGCTTTAGTTCATTCTTCTACTTTGGTTACAGCTGGAGTTTATTTATTAATTCGTTTTAATATTGTATTAAGAAATTCTTGATTAGGGCAGTTATTATTATTATTATCTGGGTTAACAATGTTTATAGCTGGTTTAGGAGCTAATTTTGAGTTTGATTTAAAAAAAATTATTGCTTTATCAACTTTAAGTCAATTAGGGTTAATAATAAGAATTTTATCAATAGGTTTTTATAAATTAGCTATATTTCATTTATTAACACATGCGTTATTTAAGGCATTATTATTTATATGTGCTGGAGCTATTATTCATAATATAAATAATTCTCAGGATATTCGTTTGATAGGAGGATTAAGAATTCACATACCTTTAACTTCAGCTTGTTTTAATGTTTCTAATTTAGCTTTATGTGGAATGCCTTTTTTAGCTGGATTTTATTCTAAGGATATAATTTTAGAAATTGTTATAATTAGAAATATTAATATATTTTCTTTTTTTTTATATTTTTTTTCTACAGGTTTGACAGTTAGTTATTCATTTCGATTAGTTTATTATTCAATAACTGGTGATTTAAATTGTGGAAGTTTAAATATATTAAATGATGAAAGTTGAATCATACTTCGAGGTATAATAGGTTTACTAATTATAAGAATTATTGGAGGGAGAATACTAAATTGATTAATTTTTCCTATCCCCTATATAATTTGCTTACCATTATCAATAAAATTATTAACTTTATTTGTTTGTATTTTTGGAGGTTTATTTGGATATTTAATTTCTATAACAAATTTATATTCATTAAATAAATCTTTATTAAATTATAATATTTCTGTATTTTTAGGTTCAATATGATTTATACCTTACATTAGAACTTATGGAATAATTTTTTATCCTTTAAATTATGGACAATTAGTAGTTAAAAGTTTTGATCAAGGTTGATCTGAATATTTTGGAGGTCAACATTTATATCAAAAATTAGTTAATTATTCTAAAATTTTATTTTTAATACATAATAATAGTTTAAAAATTTATTTAATATTATTTGTATTTTGAATTTTAATTTTATTTAATTTTTTATTATTTTTATATTCAAATAGCTTATATTTAGAGTATGACACTGAAGATGTTATGGAGATTAATTAATCTTTGAATATAGTGAATTATTTTTAGTAATTTATAAAAATAACAAATTTTATTATTACAATGAAAATGTAAGGTTTTAATTTAAACTATATAAATAGAAGTATAAATGGAATTTAACCATTAAAAGAAAAAAGTTAGCAGCTTTTACTTGATCACCATACTTCCTTAATTGGAGTTAAATTACTCAGTTATATCATTAACAGTGATATGCCTCTTTTTGGCTTCAATTAAAGAATAAGGGTAAAATTACCTAAAATTAGGTCGAAACTAATTGCAATAAATCGCTTCATATTCGAGTATATATAAGGTAGATTGAATATTCAATACTTTTTGAATGCAAATCAAATGTTATAATTAACTACAACCCTATTTATTAATATAAAATTAATTTGATCAATTTAATATACCTTGATTTCATTCATGATATAAACCAATTAATAAAATTAAAATAAAAATAATTGAAGTAATAGTTCAAATTATAATATTAGAATATTTTAAAATAATAATTATAGGTAAAATTAAAGCGATTTCTACATCGAAAATTAAAAAAATAATTGTAATTAAAAAAAATCGTAATGAAAATGGTAATCGAGAAGAAGACTTAGGGTCAAATCCACATTCAAAAGGTGATCTTTTTTCTCGATCAATAAATCTTTTTTTTGATAAAATAGAGGCTAAAAATATTACAATAGTTGTAATTGTTAAAGTTACTAAAGCAATGATAATAATTGAAAAAATTATCTATACTATTTATCAATAGACCTTATGATTGGAAGTCAAATATACTTTTATACTATATAGATAATTAATTATAATAATTTTTAACCTCCTCATCAGTAGATTGTGATATATAAAAATAATCATACTACATCAACAAAATGTCAGTATCAAGCAGCTGCTTCAAACCCAAAATGATGATTTTTTGAAAAGTGGTTATTTAAATGTCGTAATAAACAAATTAATAAAAAAGTAGTTCCAATTAATACATGGATTCCATGGAATCCTGTGGCCATGTAAAATGTTGAACCATAAACTGAATCGGCAATAGTAAATGGAGCTTCAATATATTCATAAGCTTGTAAAATTGTAAAATAAATTCCTAATAAAACAGTAAAAAATAAACCTTGTGTAGTTTGAGAATGATTTCTTTCTATTAAACTATGATGAGCTCAAGTTACAGTAACTCCTGAAGCTAATAAAATTGCTGTATTTAATAGAGGAATTTGAAATGGATTAAATGAAATAATTCCTAATGGGGGTCATGATGCTCCTAATTCAATTGCAGGAGATAAACTTCTATGAAAGAATGCTCAAAAAAAACTAACAAAAAATAAAACTTCTGATAAAATAAATAAAATTATTCCTCATCGTAATCCAATAGTTACAGCGTATGTATGTAGTCCTTGGTATGTTCCTTCTCGTGAAACATCTCGTCATCATTGATAAACTGTTAAAATAGTAATAATATTACCTAATAAAAATAATGAAATATCATATTGATGAAATCATTTTACTATACCTGATACAGTTGTTATAGCTCCAATTGCTCCAGTTAATGGTCATGGGCTATAATCAACTAAATGAAAAGGGTGATTTGAGTGTGTAGACATTAATTTACTTCTCTAGAGTATAAAGTGCTTAATACAGCAAATACATAAGATTGAATTATAGCAACAGCTGATTCAAGTACTAATAAAGCAATTTGAGCAATTAGTAAAAATGTTACTAATAAATAAGATATTGAAGGTCCTGTATTTCCTAATAAAGTT